CACTGTGGAGCTTTTCCATCACAGTTATGCAACAACACTGACGCAGACTTTGTGCTTCTTCAGAACAGACTGAACTTATTTTGACCTAAAGCTTCTCATAAAATATATGTGATTATAATCAGATATATGATAATCTGGTCGTGCAGCAGACTGTGGACTCACTCTGACCTGAAGAGCTGCTCAGAGATTATATCTGTACTGGAGCAGGACACGTTTGCAGAGGCGGCGCTGCACATTTCTGTTTGGAGGAACTTTAACTTCTTGGGTTCTTTTTAAAAGACAATACAGTAAAGTGTATTTACCTTGTTGACATGTTTCGGCTGCTAGGACCTGCCAGGTCCATCAGGTCTGACCACGCCTACAGGAAGTAACAACAGCTGATATACGACACGTCACCACCAACACCGGTTCTGAAGACGACTCGCAGCAGCAGCCGAAACATGTCAACAAGGTAAATACACTTTACCGCATTGTCTTTAAAAAGAACCTAAGAAGTTAAAGTACATAAGAAGACAAAATGAACATCATTGGCTTCATTTGGAGGAACTTTGTCCGGCTGAGGTCTTCAGTTGAGGTGCACACTTCACTTTTTGCTTTGCTCTTTAAATTTGTTTAAATCTAGTTATCCGCTCTAATGATTTAAAAAACTGAATATGGAATTATTGTTTTATTGTAGTCTCATTTTGAACAATCTGTAGTCGCCATTTGAACATTTCCAGGGCAAAAATCTTTGAGAGAGCAGTCGGTGTTCGAGGGGAGCCCCCCCACAGAGCCGCCTGTGCACATTTAGCTCAAATACATGGAAAAATCAGGTACAGGCCTTTTAATACGATACAAATGCATCTTTGTATTGATTGTGGGTGTTTTATTTGGAGAAAGATGTCTAATAGTGGTGTAACGATATCCAAGTCTCACAATATGATATCGTCACAGTATGAACCTCACAGTACGATATTAGGTTAGGTCAGGTTGCTTTAGTTGTATCCATTGGTAAATTTGTTTTCACTCATCCACACCATCAGTTACAATATTTATTGTGATATTGTTGAAAAGTTCACGACATAGCGATGAGGCTCACAGTTAGTTATGTAACAATATCCAAATCTCTCGGTACGATATTTTCACGATAAACATCTCACGGTACGATATTTATTGCAATATTTTGTGGAGATTAAACAGCTAAAACTGTCAAACTAAACTGTTAATATTCTACTTTTTCCTCTTAAAATGCCTTGACAAGACCTAACTCAAAGAACTAAGACTTAAAAGTGTTAAAACTGTTATTTCTTCTTGTCGTCTGCACTGAAATGGAGCAAAGGATCATGGTCTATGTAGTTCCCTCTCTCTTTTTTTTAGCTGTTTGATAAATTGTGATGGTCCACGATATTATTGTGAGAACTTTGACGATACAATATCACAATATTTCAGTTATTGTTCGTAGTACTAGTGACGGTAGTAGTAGTAGTAGCAGGAGTAGTAGTAGTAGTAGTAGTAGTAGTAGTAGTAGTAGTAGTAGTAGTAGTAGTAGTAGTAGTAGTAGTAGTAGTAGTAGTAGTAGTAGTAGTAGTAGTAGTAGTAGTAGTAGTAGTAGTACTCACTGTGGCAGGTCTGTTGGTGGGGGTACAGTAGTAGTAGTAGTAGTAGTAGTAGTAGTAGTAGTAGTAGTAGTAGTAGTAGTACTCACTGTGGCAGGTCTGTTGGTGGGGGTACAGTAGTAGTAGTAGTAGTAGTAGTAGTAGTAGTAGTAGTAGTAGTAGTACTCACTGTGGCAGGTCTGTTGGTGGGGTACAGTAGTAGTAGTAGTAGTAGTAGTAGTAGTAGTAGTAGTAGTAGTAGTAGTAGTAGTAGTAGTAGTAGTAGTAGTAGTAGTACTCACTGTGGCAGGTCTGTTGGTGTTGGTACAGTAGTAGTAGTAGTAGTAGTAGTAGTAGTAGTAGTAGTAGTAGTAGTAGTAGTAGTAGTAGTAGTAGTAGTCACTGTGGCAGGTCTGTTGGTGGGTACAGTAGTAGTAGTAGTAGTAGTAGTAGTAGTAGTAGTAGTAGTAGTAGTAGTAGTAGTAGTAGTAGTAGTAGTAGTAGTAGTAGTAGTAGTAGTAGTACTCACTGTGGCAGGTCTGTTGGTGTGCGTACAGTAGTAGTAGTAGTAGTAGTAGTAGTAGTAGTAGTAGTAGTAGTAGTAGTAGTAGTAGTAGTACTCACTGTGGCAGTCTGTTGGTGGGGGTACAGTAGTAGTAGTAGTAGTAGTAGTAGTAGTAGTAGTAGTAGTAGTAGTAGTAGTACTCACTGTGGCAGGTCTGTTGGTGGGGTACAGTAGTAGTAGTAGTAGTAGTAGTAGTAGTAGTAGTAGTAGTAGTAGTAGTACTCACTGTGGCAGGTCTGTTGGTGGGGGTACAGTAGTAGTAGTAGTAGTAGTAGTAGTAGTAGTAGTACTCACTGTGGCAGGTCTGTTGGTGGGGTACAGTAGTAGTAGTAGTAGTAGTAGTAGTAGTAGTAGTAGTAGTAGTAGTACTCACTGTGGCAGGTCTGTTGGTGGGTAGTAGTAGTAGTAGTAGTAGTAGTAGTAGTAGTAGTAGTAGTAGTAGTAGTAGTAGTAGTAGTAGTAGTAGTAGTAGTAGTAGTAGTTAGTAGTAGTAGTAGTAGTAGTAGTAGTAGTAGTAGTAGTAGTAGTAGTAGTAGTAGTAGTAGTAGTAGTAGTAGTAGTAGTACTCACTGTGGCAGGTCTGTTGGTGGGGGTACAGTAGTAGTAGTAGTAGTAGTAGTAGTAGTAGTAGTAGTACTCACTGTGGCAGGTCTGTTGGTGGGGGTACAGTAGTAGTAGTAGTAGTAGTAGTAGTAGTAGTAGTAGTAGTAGTACTCACTGTGGCAGGTCTGTTGGTGGGGTACAGTAGTAGTAGTAGTAGTAGTAGTAGTAGTAGTAGTAGTAGTAGTAGTAGTAGTAGTACTCACTGTGGCAGGTCTGTTGGTGGGGGTACAGTAGTAGTAGTAGTAGTAGTAGTAGTAGTAGTAGTAGTAGTAGTAGTAGTAGTAGTACTCACTGTGGCAGGTCTGTTGGTGGGGTACAGTAGTAGTAGTAGTAGTAGTAGTAGTAGTAGTAGTAGTAGTAGTAGTAGTAGTAGTACTCACTGTGGCAGGTCTGTTGGTGGGGGTACAGTAGTAGTAGTAGTAGTAGTAGTAGTAGTAGTAGTACTCACTGTAGGTAGTAGTAGTAGTAGTAGTAGTAGTAGTAGTAGTAGTAGTAGTAGTAGTACTCACTGTGGCAGGTCTGTTGGTGTTCGTACAGTAGTAGTAGTAGTAGTAGTAGTAGTAGTAGTAGTAGTAGTAGTAGTAGTAGTACTCACTGTGGCAGGTCTGTTGGTGGGGGTACAGTAGTAGTAGTAGTAGTAGTAGTAGTAGTAGTAGTAGTAGTAGTACTCACTGTGGCAGGTCTGTTGGTGGGCGTACAGTAGTAGTAGTAGTAGTAGTAGTAGTAGTAGTAGTAGTAGTAGTACTCACTGTGGCAGGTCTGTTGGTGGGGGTACAGTAGTAGTAGTAGTAGTAGTAGTAGTAGTAGTAGTAGTAGTAGTAGTAGTAGTAGTAGTAGTAGTAGTAGTAGTACTCACTGTGGCAGGTCTGTTGGTGGGGTACAGTAGTAGTAGTAGTAGTAGTAGTAGTAGTAGTAGTAGTAGTAGTAGTAGTAGTAGTAGTAGTCTCACTGTGGCAGGTCTGTTGGTGGGGTACAGTAGTAGTAGTAGTAGTAGTAGTAGTAGTAGTAGTAGTAGTAGTACTCACTGTGGCAGGTCTGTTGGTGGGGGTACAGTAGTAGTAGTAGTAGTAGTAGTAGTAGTAGTAGTAGTAGTAGTAGTAGTAGTCTGTGGTGGGGTAGTAGTAGTAGTAGTAGTAGTAGTAGTAGTAGTAGTAGTAGTAGTAACTCACTGTGGCAGGTCTGTTGGTGGGGGTACAGTAGTAGTAGTAGTAGTAGTAGTAGTAGTAGTAGTAGTAGTAGTAGTAGTAGTAGTAGTAGTAGTAGTAGTACTCACTGTGGCAGGTCTGTTGGTGGGTACAGTAGTAGTAGTAGTAGTAGTAGTAGTAGTAGTAGTAGTAGTAGTAGTAGTAGTAGACTCACGTGGCAGTCTGTTGGTGTACAGTAGTAGTAGTAGTAGTAGTAGTAGTAGTAGTAGTAGTAGTAGTAGTAGTAGTAGTAGTAGTAGTACTCACTGTGGCAGGTCTGTTGGTGGGGTACAGTAGTAGTAGTAGTAGTAGTAGTAGTAGTAGTAGTAGTAGTAGTAGTAGTAGTAGTAGTAGTAGTAGTAGTAGTACTCACTGTGGCAGGTCTGTTGGTGGGGGTACAGTAGTAGTAGTAGTAGTAGTAGTAGTAGTAG